CCTTCACTCGTATCATCAAACACAGTTCATCCTGTGCATTATATAAAAATAAAGCATTGAACGCTTTCCAGGCTCTATCCTGTGATCCCAGCCAACGCTAGAGTCATCACAGACAGAGATATTACTGTCGGCGGATACCTCATCCCGAGAAACGTGAGTACTTCATACTCCAGCAGCTTCGGTGTAGGGCGATCAAGCATGCTTCTCTCAATTAATTAAGCATAATTGTGCAATATTGACCTATTGCCCTAGTAAGAAAGTAATACGTTTATTTCATACTAAGTATAGTTCAAATCTATTAATATTTTTACGGACATATCGCTCAAAACTTACTGATATAAAATTGATAATTAAACTTTATTTGGAGTACTACTTGTGTACAATGCACATTTCTTAATATTAAGCCTAAAATGTGTTTTAATGTCACTATTGATGAGGATTGCATGATCTTTGAATATTATCAGTTTTTAAATGCAAGATATTTAAAGTGTACTTGAAGTACACTTTAGCACAATCAAATACACTTCCGTATATCTTTAGTTGGACTTCAGCACTACTTCCGCACAATTAAAGTGCATTAAGCACAAAATTAGTTGTTCCAGTTTAGCAGACTTTAAGTTTTCCAGGTTAGTATAGTAAAAGTACAATTGCAGGGTATTTTCATTAAGTACATAAATATGTATCTGTAGTATACTTGGCATTTCAAATACATTTTAGTATATTTATTTTTCACTTGGGTGGTTATTTATCCTGACATTTGCATTTTCATTGGTAACACGGTTGCCAGATCTCAAGAGTTTAAAATTCCCCAATCAGCGCTTTTCTTTTAAATGGATACATTTTCTGACTAGTGTTTCACTTAATCTTCCCAACCTGGCAACTGCAAGCAGGCAAACATGTAAGCTGGAGTTTAGCGCTCTCCATTGAGAGATTCTGCTCAAAATGAAAGCGCAACACGGCCAGTCTGTGTTTCTTCACACAGCCGTAAATCTGCCATCATACCTTCTCATGACAAACTGTAATAAATCCAAACACGGATCTGGGATCTTGCTGAATAAATGCACTCATGCAACATCTGAGCCACAATACAAAGGCTTTTGTGTTGTTGTTTTAAAAACAGAGACATAAATATAATGAATATATTAGGAATTTGACAGGTTTAGCTTTTGAGAGAAGCTTTCCCTGCTGAAAAAACTAAACAATAGACACCATCACAAAATTTGTAATGGTTTTACTGGTTATAATGGTAATTGTATTGGTTTTAATGGAAACTATATTGGTAATTACTCTATTGGTAATTGGTCGCCTTCTATTGGTGGCTTGTTAAAACCAATACATCCTAATGGAATATGTCCCAAAACACACTACAAAAAAACATTTTTTAATGGTTTAATGGTTAAAAGTTGATTGTAATGTTATTTGTAGTGGAAACCATTAGAATTTTCTGTGATGGTTCTACTGTTTTTTTCAGCAGGGAATTTTCTTCATAGTTCAGAAAGTGTTTGTTTATATAGACTAAATATAATAAATTAAAACATGCATGCGAATTGATGTTCCCTCGAATTGTGCTTACATGAAAGTGCAATAATTCTGATCAAATGCACAAAGAAGTTCCTCACATGACAATCGTGGGTGTAAACAAGCATTATCTGTGTTTGCTCGCTCCTCACAGACGCTGATCACTCTGTGCCACTACGCCACGTCCCGTGACCCGCGGCAGTTCTGCGATCCGGACGCGTTTGTCCCGCGGCGCTGGCTGAGCCGCTCCGAGGGCAGTCACCCGTTCGCCTCCGTGCCGTTCGGAGTGGGCAAGCGCAGCTGCGTCGGCCGGCGCATCGCTGAACTGGAGGTCTACCTGGCGCTGGCTCGGGTATCTCAACTATTCTGAAAATTCACCCCATGGGTTTTCTAAATGCATGTTGTTGAGCTTATTGTCAGGTTCATCCGTGCATGTGTATTTGACCTTGTAACCAGTGTTGGGGAAAGTTACTTTTAAAAGTAATGCATTACAATATTGCGTGACTCCCTTAAAAAGTAACTAATTACGCTACTTAGTTACTTTTTATGGAAAGTAATGCGTCACGTTACTTTGAGTTACTTTTTAAATCTGGGCAGGGCTTGCTTGTTTTTTTTATATAAAAAAGTTCTTCTTTTACAAATGTAAAAGCCTTTTCACACCTAAAGAGAAATGAATGTGCCTCAGGGTGAAGGAAATGTAAATTCACGTCTCTGTACAGTAGAGGGCGCAGCTCAAACAAACTGCATGAAGAATATGACGCAGGAGAAGAAAGTTCAACACTATTCAGCAATAACACAAATTTTTGCTTAGTATGGTTGAACTGGATCATTGAAGGTCAGTAGCAAAGACATATGTTAATAAAATAGGATTAAATACATAAATGATATTTGACTTATTTATCATATTTAAGTAGTGCAGGTTTGTATAATATTCTGAGTTTGCATTTGACTGGTGTTACTTATTTGAAAAAGCAACTCAGATATTTCCTTCTAAATTAAAAAGTAATGCGTCACTTTACTAGTTACTTTAAAAAAGTAATCTGATTACGTAACTTGCGTTACTTGTAATGCGTTACCCCCAACACTGCTCGTAATGTTTAATCATTTAATTTAAGGTAGTGACTGGACCTCTGATGCATGGCTTGTTTTTCTCACAGATTTTAATGCACTTTAACGTGGAGCCGGCGGAAGATAGCGATCCGGTCCAGCCGATGACCAGAACTCTTCTGGTGCCAGAGAAACAGATCAACCTCCGCTTCATCGAGCGCTGACGTGACGGTCCGAGTGACCGGGTGTGACAGAACTGGCCCTGTCCGTCACAGAGAGCCAGGAGGACGCTGGGACGTCTGCAGCAGGAGCCGCTCTCACTTACCTGAGCGGATACCAGCTCAAGAACTAACCTGTGATTCATTACCCATGAGACATAACCCAGAAGCGAGTGCAAGAGAAGCTGAAGGTGTCCGTTGCTGGATGAAGCTGCTGCAGATCTTCATGAAGAGCCCCGCTGCGCTCCTTCGTTACGCAACAGCGAGACTAGAAAGAGAGCAAAACTCTAGAAAAGCTCTTCACTTATAGATACTTGTGTGCAAAACGAATGAGGAGCAGCTTGTGCTCATGGTCTATATTAGAAAAAGAAGATTTGGTGCTACTGTGTTTGAAATTTCCCAGTTTGTTCATTGTAGCCACTGCAGACCCGTCTCCTTGAGACTTCAGTAATCATGCAGAGAAACACGCCACAGCTTTTATGTTATATTTTTCAATATTTCTATATTGAATAAAAATGTTGTTTTGAGTAAATTGTAAAGGTAACTGCATTTTCTGTCGCTGGTTATAAAGTCTCTTTTACTAACAGTGCACAAAAAACAAACTTTACTTTCTGGCCCGCTGCTATAGTTTAGTCCACGGTAATTCCACGAAACCTACTTACCCTAATAGCAGGTTTTCTGAGAAGGCGAGTGCCGGGTTGTGCTGTTCTAGTGAAACAAAGGCTGATGGACACAAGGCCACGCTGTGTTTGCTCTGGGGTTTCCCCAGCGAGCGCTCAGAGGGTCAGCGTGTGCTCTGAACCCATGATACTGGGAAACCAGCAGTCTCCTAAAATCACTCGGCTTCAGCGCAGCTGTAGCGTCCTCTAAACCTAAAGCCTGCTCTGATGGCCACGTCATGATTGAACATTCAATGCTGGAACACGTTTTGTAACAACAAAGAAGCTTGGAAATCAAGCGGTGAACTGAAATCAGTCCAAAGCTCATCTCTCGGTAGTTTGAACTGTGAGCAGCACCAAACACAGTGCGATGCATATTCCTGAAAGTGTTTGTGTAATAGCAATCACAGAGAGTCATCCATGCACAGCAGCTGATGGAAGGATGCCATCTTGTGGTGTAGGGCTGTTTAAAGGGGTCCTATTATGCTTTTTCACTTTTTCAACTTTAGTTAGTCTGTAATGTTGCTGTTTGAGCATAAAAAGATCTGCAAAGTTACAATTAAAGCTCAAAAAAGGAGACTCAAAAGGAGATGTTTTATTAACTGTCCCATTGCCTGCCAAGTAAATAACACTGTCAAGGCCCAGAAAAGTATGAAAGACATCGTCAGAATTGTCCATCTGCCATCAGTGGTTCAATCTGAATTTTATGAAGCGACGAGAATGCTTTTTACAGTCACAAACCTCCTGGTTTTCATCCAAAATATCTTAAATTGTGTTCCTGAAGACGAACGAAGCTTTTACGGGTTTGGAACGACATGGAGGTCAGTGATTAATGACAACATTTTCATTTTGGGTAACCCTTTAATATCATAGAATATTTACCCTGTAAAGCCTGACATATGAAATAACAGTCAGCAAAACATTAAAACCATTAGTTTATTGAAACTTTGGATAAAATATGAAGGAAATAAGTTTGCATATGTGTTTTATATCATATTTAATCCATCAGGCTTTTATAGCTCATATAGTCTGATATAGTGAAAATATGGGGGAAAACAGCTCAGTTTTACTCAGAGACTCAAACTGAACAAAAATAAGAATTTGCTGCAGATGCTGATATTTACATGACGAAATTCTGATGCTTGTAATGTAAATCAGTGAGATCTTTATAGCAGTACAGCAGATACGGACATAAAATGATCTAAATATGATATCAGTCGTCACTCTATATCTGCAGTAATATGTTTTAGTAAGATGAGGTTGAAATGATCCAAACATGTAATGCAATGCAATCCAATGATGACTGAGAGATGAAAAATATACGCTCCTCAGAAGCCTGACGATCAGATTTGAGACTAAATAGGATTTTTATAAATAAATGAAATCAGTAAAGCGAAGTGTTCATCTTGAAATTACTAACAATGTCAAAGTTACTCTTTTACAGTTTACTTAAGAATAGCTTAATAAAAAAGTTAATAAAAAACATATGCAGGATTCTACTTAAGTGCAGCCGACGAAATGCATCCACATGCACATCCACATAAATGAAACTAATCACAGTGAAGAGAGAATTAGCGCAGCAAACAAAAAAAAACTGCAGGTGATTTTTGGCTCTGATGGCGTTCCGTACTCAAGACTTCTGCATTGACTCTCAGCGATGTGAACGTGGCTTCAGCTGTTGTCATGATCGGAGACGCCGCGCACATTTTCCCAGCAGAAGATGGTTTGTTTGAGGAGACGTTCAGCACAGATAACACATACAGGGTTCACGGACTGAACATCACGATTCACCAGGATTACAGCGCGAGCCTGGGCGTCGCTGCGTCAGTCTGGGACTCCGTGAGTTATTATTAGAATTACATATTAATACAGCAAGCAGATCCTGTACATAGTGAAGAATACATCTGTGCAATAAATTAATGCATAGATAAATGGAGGACAAAACAAATGCAAAAAGTGACTTGTGTTCAAATAAATAGTTTTTATTTAATTCTGTATTTATTTATTTACTTACTTAGCCTATACTCATCTGGGGTGTATGGAGGTCGATGCACTTAAAATGTGATATAATATAACAGACTGGTTGCGCACATTTTGACCATAAACAAAGTTTTGCAGCGGTAGAACCGAATGTTTCTGTGAACTAACTAATTTGTATTAGTTCTAACTGTATTTGAAACCCGCATTATTCACAGCTGTTGTGTTATATTAATACAGCAAGCAGATCCTGTACATAGTGAAGAATACATCTGTGCATGAATACATAAATTAATGCATAGATAAATGGAGGACAAAACAAATGCAAAAAGTGACTTGTGTTCAAATAAATAGTTTTTATTTAATTCTGTATTTATTTATTTACTTACTTAGCCTATACTCATCTGGGGTGTATGGAGGTCTTCTTTATAGCCACTCGATGCACTTAAAATGTGATATAATATAACAGACTGGCTGCGCACATTTTGACCATAAACAAAGTTTTGCAGCGGTAGAACCGAATGTTTCTGTGAACTAACTAATTTGTATTAGTTCTAACTGTATTTGAAACCCGCATTATTCACAGCTGTTGTGTTACAGAGAGTTCTTGAAGTGCGTGCCCATGCACGAGACCGAGTGAATAAAGAAAAGAAGCATCCGATCAAGCTCCCGTGTAGAACTGAGTTTTTTTTAGTGTTCAGTCAGTTTAAACACTACACTGGCGACGAAGATGGCTGATCTTCGTAGCTTACCGCTTCCATCACCTTTTCTTCCCGTGCCTGGTGAACCGCCTATTCCGTGGGCGAGTTAGTTTGATGGTTTCATGGTATATCTCGAGGCCATGGATTACACTGACATTTCCAACCGGCGAAAGATCGCCCTGCTTCGCCACTGTCTTGGGGCGGAGGGACAGAGAATATATCGTAAACCAGGGGCGTATGAAGAAAAACTTAGATAAGAGACACAAGGTCAGGCATACTAACATCAAGGTACTGGACTGGGTGTGAGTCCGCAGACCTCACCGTAGCAGTAAAATGGTATCATTTTGGTCTAAACCTCACCAAGTGGTCCGTCAGCTAGGATCTGCCACATTTTTGTTAAGTGATGGCTCACACTGGCATGCTAGTAGATTGCAGGAAGTGCCCATCCCTCTTACACCAGCAAGAGGTCCGTGGGCAACAGAGCCCAATGCAAGAGCAGCACAAGGAGTCAGTTCCCCAGTCCCACGACCAGAACCAGTACAGCCACGGTCACACCAGGCACCTCAAGGCTTTCAGGGAGTTCTTGAAGTGCGTGTATGAGACAGGGTGAATAAAGAAAAGCATCCGTTCAAGCTCCTGTGCAGAACTGAGTTTTTTTAGTGTTCAGTCAGTTTAAACAGTACAATAGCATTGTGATATGAATGACAATATTTAGAGAACATAGGCCAATTCCACGAAAACATGACGCTGCATGTGCCAGAGTGTGAATTAGGAACAGTGTTTCTGCCTTATAAAGACACAAGAGTCTCAAACTCTAGTGATGTGTCGTTCGTGAACGAGCCGGCTCTAAGAGCCCATTTTTTTGTAGCGAACGAGAAGGGGAGAGCCGAATCTTCAGCCGGAGCCTTCCATTTTAGCCCAATTTACCAATTGTGAATGGTTTGTGTGTTGGTAAGCAATTTTATATTCAGTGTTTTCATAAAAGCCTTATTTTTATGCATTTTTTTTGTTACAAAAAAATAAAAATAATAATACACATGCGGCTAATCATATGATAGACTAGGATCATACCATTATGTGAAAGAAGGAAGGGGGACACACGCTTCGAAGATAACGAGTGTAGTGGTACAGGCCAGGTACACAGAGCGACAGAGAGAGGTGGGGGAGCCAGATTTAAACGCAAGCGTGTTGGTTAAGGTAATGGTAGGAAGACACCACCTGCGTCCCAATGTGCATACTATCCATCCTAAATTCTGTGTGATATTAGTAATTTTAATATACTATTTAGGGCAGATAGGGTGGATAGTATGCACATTGGGACGCAGGGACTGCATTGTTGCAACTTCGGTCCCCTCAGAGAGGGTCTTCACAAAAACAGGACAAATAATCACAGAGAGGAGAAATCGCATCAGCACATCCAAGCTGAGGCATCTGATATTGCTGAATGCCAACCTGCACTAAAGACTAAAGTGTCTTAATGTTAAGACTTTTGCCTTTATTTATTTGATTTGTTTTCTGTGTTCAATTGTTCAATTAAAGTTTTATTAAAATGTTAAATAATAGTAATTGTTACGAAAAGTTGCATAAAAATAAGGCTTTATGAAAACACTGGCAAAAAAAATTGCTTACCAACACAAACCATTCAAAATTGCTAAAATAGAAGGCTCCGAGTGATACTAAATGAAGAGCCATGTGGGTGCCGTAAGAGCCGGCTCTTCTAAGGGAGCC